CGCAGCATGTACTTGATCTGGAATCAAAGTAGTCTTAAAAGATTCGCTTTCTGTCGTAAAAGAGGTCGCTCAGTTGCTTTATCTATCAAAGTCACAAAGCCAAGAAGTTCACTCCTCGTAATTAGTCGTCTTCACCTCAAAATTGGCAGTTTAAGCACCTAGGACTCAACTTTTGTCTAGTGGACAAAAGACAACAGCACCACCAGAATTGAGGTTAGTAGGTTTTTAACAGTCGAAGGTACATATAGGGCCCTCACGACGTCGACTAATGTAAGGATTAACTGGCCGAGGCTCTTCAGACAACGAAATGACAGACTTCTTCGCGTCTGTTAGGCCGACTGAGCCATTGCCCATTTCCAATGGAACAACCAAATGGCGAATTCCGGAGCGTTGGGCTGAACACTTTAGAGGCTTTCTCAAACGGCCACCGAAAATATCAGGCGAAGCCGTCAACAGAGTTCCTGAAGTGGAAACCAACGCAGACGTCAACCATCCGCCCTCGCTTTCAAAAATAATCAAAGCAAAACGCCAGGCGCTGATTCCTAGCTGAAATCTACAAAGGTGACAGCCTTTAACTGATCGAGAAACTCACCTCGCTGCTCCAGGTGTAGAGACAGGGACAAACCCCTCATCATCCACCTACATAAACACTGGTGGAACCAGCAACCATGTTACAATAATAGAGGTATCACCTGGCCTCCCCCGCCGCGTACCACTAAGTCGTCTGGACCTTCACTTGAAACAAAGACTTCTCCATACACGTTAACGCTGATTTATAAGGGACCGCAGAACCATCTACATGGTCTTCGTCGTTTGTAAACCGCAGATTAAAAGATCGGGGTTGATTTGAGAAAAATGATGGTCTCACCGGAATCAGTGGTTCTCCGTGAAACTTACCGACACCGCCACTTGTGTACGGTCTACCGAACGTACACAAGGCAAATGTCCCCCTCAGACCAATCGTATCCCTTCGTGGCACTCCGGCGTACGGTTTGGCAAAATGGATGTTTGGTCGTCTTAAGTTTTTGGCCGAAGGCTCACCAACAACAGTAGCATCTGCGAACCAATTCCTGGAGAGCATAAAACATCTGAAGTTATAGCCAGACGAATCCATGGTATCCTTTGATGTAGCGTCTCTCCTCACCTCCGTTCCACAGCAACTACTGATAGACTTTATGAACCAACTACTGGCACAGCGCTATGAGGAGAGGGACAAAGCCCTAAAGTCCGAACATCTGCTCGAGTTTCTGCGACACTGCCTCAAGACCTATTTCACCTTCGGTGGACAAATGTACGAACAAATAGAAGACACTCCTCTGGGCTCCTCTCTTCCAGGCCTAGCCGTTGAAGTAGTTCTTCAACGGATAGAACTCTTAGTGTTCCCCAAGTATCAACCAGAGCTCTGGGCTCATTATGTCGATGACATCGAGCACCCAAAGGAAACACTAAACTCGGTGGACCCGGATACCCACTTTGCGATGGAAACAGAAGCAAACAATCAACTGCCCTTCCTTGACATGCTTGTGCGCCGGTGTACAACTGGACAACTGCAAATCCCAGTATTCCTAAAATCCACCGACACGGAACGATCCTACACTTCAACAACAATCATCCTCTGTCTCGAACGTGCCTGTGTCTGCACTCTATTCCAAAGGGTCGAAAAACACTGCAGCAGGGCAGAAGATAAAAGAGCCGAACGCAACATCCACCACATGCATCCAACTGCCACCGTGCTGACTCCTGCCGCACTTGTGATTCGAGTCTAACAGAGAACTAAAAGGTCATTTATATCTTGTGCGTATAAGTGGAATTTATCGAATTACGCTGATGACAGTATGAAGTGACGGTACAACCGTCGTTGTCGAAGATGTTCACTGTGTGCTCTACAACACGGCGGAGCAGATACGATGACTTGTGCGTTAATTAGTTTGTAGTTATATTAAACTTGCACAGCATCTACCGCACTATCCCCACTGGCTCCGGTGTCAAAACAGAATCAATAAGACCGTTGCAAACCGTGGTAGTCGACTTGCTTACACATCCAGCACAGAAGCCACAAGAGGAAGGGGCCGAGGAGCACAATCCCCACTTACGTGAATGTGCTTGTGTTGTGTGGTGATGGGTACCTGGAACACCAATCTACACTCGCGCATTCGCCCCCCCCCTGTCCACATTGCCTCCGCACATTTACTCACGGCATGGGTCTATTCGGTCACATGCGTAACCACGAGAGCGCAGTTGATCGTAGTCTTGACACTTAGCACCTCCTGCACATCCAACATCCCCGGCCCAAGCCACACCCCGTCGTCCAGTTAGTCCAAAATCATCAGCTCCATCACTGTCACCATCTTCGAAAGCGACACTGACACCGCCGACT